TGGAAAAATGCATAGTGGTAATCCCCAGGCATATGTCATTTTAAGGACAAATAAATGCAACTCTTGCCAAAAAAAAAAAAAAAACAACTCCTATACTCCGTATTTTATTTGATTCTCTTTATATTGATTCGAGATATGATGATTTTGGACCCAATGTTTTTGTCAATTATATTTTGTCTCTATCAATTTGATTATGTTTGTAGTGCCGGACCCTATGTGAATGTGAAGCAAACTAAGCACTTTGTTTCTATATATTGTGGACCATAAAGTAAAGTAGTGAAGTTAATGTGAACACCCTAATTCTACCTCCCATGGGCAATATCTCTCTCCTCATTAAATTTTCTCCATTATTTTCATTCTCTCCTCACTCAGTCTCTCTCTCCTTTCTCGTCTCTCTCACCCTAACTCACCCTTAATTCTCTTTCTCTTTATTTTCTCTCATCATTTATATTCTTTAATTCTCTCTCCCTATTTAATCGCCATCCAAATTGAAAATATTGTTGCTTATTTTGTCAATCTCAATAACTTGCAAGTATACCTCAATCTGAAGTTGCTAACACGTGGACATAAAATACGCAGCAGTAGTGGTAAGTCTTATACAGTTTCTTACCTCAATCACAATGTGACGTGTTTTTCGGGATACTGATTTGTTGTTTCAATTGATAGTTGGGCATGGAATACGGAATACGGCAATGCAATGGATCATACAGCTTTTTAGACAGCTGGGATGTTGTTCAAGTGATGATAAAACTTGTTTTGGTCATGTTTATTTTGGTTTGAATGATGGGATGCAGCATTCTTTTTTTCTTTCTAAATGGGATGCAGTATACCACACAGTTGGTGGTGTTACAACTTGTTTTTTCATGTTTATTGTGGTTGAGACTGAAGCTGTATGATGTTATAACTTTTTTTGGCAATGTTCATTTTGATTGAATGATGAGATGCAGTATACTTGCTGTCTACCTTGACAATTACTGCCAAGCATTTTCGTCCCTCCTAGTTAGCCTTGATTTCCAACTGAACAAATCCATCTGGAAATCCCATCATATTACATGTAGTACCTTCGTTGTACTAATATGTACTAATCTTCACCTTAATTGATGTTATAACTTCTTTTTTTCTCATTTTGGTTGATTATGTTCTTTACCTGTAATTTATTTTAGATGCAGTGGTATGAGTGGTTGTGATTGGCTCCTTGAATTTCCAACCAATTCCATAGCTGTTAACACAAAATTTAAGAGCAAAGCAAAGAGTCAAAAAAAAAAAAAAAAAAAAAAAAAAAAAAAAGAAACAAAATATAAGAGTAAATCAAAGAGGAAACAAATGAGAAAAAAAAATTTAGAAAAACACAAATTTAGAGAGAGAGATTGGCTGAGAGAGAAATTTTAAGGGGAGAGAAATTTTTGAGATAATATTGGCAACAACGGGATTTTTAGAGAGAAAAAACAAAATTAGAGAGACAATATTGGCAGCACATAATTTGTAAAGAGAAAAAAAAAATTATAGAGCGAGAGATAAAAAAATATGGGCGGCCACAACATATTTTAGAGAAAAAATTAAGAAAGATATTTTACAGAAAAAAAAAATTGAGATAGAGAGACAGTCACAAAAAGATATTATAGAGAGGAGAAAAATTTAGAACAAAGAGATATTATAGAGAGAAGAAAAATTTAGAGAGAGATAAAAAAAAAAAATTAGAGAGATATATATGGGCAGAGAGTCGGCCACAAAGAGATATTATAGAGAGAAAATTTTAGAACAAAGAGATGTTTTAGAGAGAGAAAAAATTTACAGCGATAGAGAGAAAAAATTTAGATACATATACATATATGGGTGGCCACAAAAAGATATTTTAGAGAGAAAAAATATTGATATTATAGAGAGAAAAAAAAATAGAACAGAGATATTATAGAGAGAGAAAAAAAAAATTAGAGGGATATAAATGGGTAGCAATAAAAAAATATTTTAGAGAGAGAAAAAATTTAGATAGAGAGACGGCCACAAAGAGATATTATAGAGAAAAAAAAAAATTTGAACAAAGAGATATTATGGAGAGAGAAAATAATTTAGAGATAATATCGGTAATCACAAAAAGATATTTAAGAGAAAAAAAAATTGAGAGAGATAGTGTTTTTCTTGGATAAGTTTTGAAGCACACCCAAATAGACCCATTTAATGTTCTGTTAACACCTAAAATATAATTCGAGGCAATCATGCCACGTGGTCAGAAATTACAAGGTCCGATCATCAGGGCGAAAGATTAATTTCTAATCATGGTGATCCGATTTAAGGCTGAGAATGAAGAAGAGTGGAATTTTTAGGCCATTAAGACTGATATGAGGTTTTGAGCTCATAACAGGCTATGATTGAGAATCTCAGTCACTATGGTTATGACTCTCAGTTACTATGGTCATGATCATTAGTCTTAGGCCAAAGCCTTCTCAGTCATCTTGGTCATGAGAGTCTCAGTCTCATGGTCATAAGTTTTAGGTCAAAACCCTTCTCAGTCACTATGGTTATGACTCTCAGTTACTATGGTCATGATCATGAGTCTTAGGCCAAACCTTCTCAGTCATTATGGTCATGAGAGTCTCAGTCTCATGATCATGAGTCTTAGGCCAAACCTTCTCAGTCACTATAGTTATGAGAGTCTCAGTCATCTTGATCATGAGAGTCTCAGTCATCATGATCATGAGAGTCTTAGGCCAAAGCCTTCTCAGTCATCTTGGTCATGAGAGTCTCAGTCTCATGGTCATAAGTTTTAGGTCAAAACCCTTCTCGGTCGCTATGGTTATGAGAGTCTCAGTCATCATGATCATGAGTCTTAGGCCAAAATACTCTCAGTCACGACTTTCTCGATCACAATGGTCATGGTCAGGAGACCCTCAGTTATAATGGTCACAATCCAAAGTCTCTCCAAAGACTCATAACCAGCCATGATCAAGAGTCTCGATCGTTATTTCTCTCGGTCACAATGATCATAAGACTCTCGGTCATAATGGTCATGATCATGAATCTTAACCAAGATTTCTAGTCACTATGGCCATGATCAAGACTTATGACCAAATATGGTCATGATCAGGGGTCTCGGGTCATTATCACTTGAGGAATCTTTGGGGTAATTCAAATGAAGACCGGTTGTGAATCCCAATGTTTCAAGAACCCAACAAGTCAGGTCTAGAAGTTTGAAGAAAGCTTGAAATAGAAAAGGACAACTTGACAATGTCAGAAGTTCAGAACTACAGATGGAAGGTTCTCACCAACATCTGATGAGGGAAGTCAGGATTGTCAGTAATCAGATGACTCCAGGCTAATGTACAAATCAAGCCAGACATGACAGGTGCAGAGAGCTGAAAATGGCTTGAAGACCAAAATCATCAAGCATGAAAGAATAGGCACCATTTAGTCAAAAATACCATGTCAGACATACTTGTATATCAGATGACTCCAGGCTAATGTACAAATCAAGCCAGACATGACAGGTGCAGAGAGCTGAAAATGGCTTGAAGACCAAAATCATCAAGCATGAAAGAATAGGCACCATTTAGTCAAAAATACCATGTCAGACATACTTGTATCTGCCTATAGAGGGATGTGCAAGTTAGTCAACCTTTCCAGCTGGTGGTTAGGAAAAGTCACTTTCAGCTTACAACCAATCAATTTCTAGAGAAACGGTTGAAAGGGACAACACCAGGTGGAAGCCTCTATAAATACCCACTCAAGCATCACAAGGAAGGGGTCCAAGACCATTTCTAAAGTTCAACCTTTAGCATTCATATCACTTAGCACTTAGCTTTTATCTCATCAAGTTCAGTTTATCACTTAGCTTTTATTTCAGCAAGTTCAGCTTAGCACTATCAGTTTAATACTTAGTTATTTTTCAGCATTCAATACTTTAGTTTCCATTTCAATCAAGAGTTTGTAATTCATTCATCATTGTAATCAGTCAAGTTCAATGAAGAAAGGTTTGCAGATTCAGGTATATTTATTGTTCAGTTTAAGTTGCTTCTAATTGATACTCATCTTAAATGTTTAAAGTCCTTTCTTAAAGGCAATAGCAACCTTAAGGAGAGGGTCATTCCTACTCTCCAACTTTCGCCTGAATCACCTTAGGTCGGTGACCCGACCCAATAGGAATAGTTTGGCCAGAAATATTCGAGTCCATCAGGACTCTGGCACGCCCGCGTTCTAGGTCAGCCATTCATTAGCTAGCGACCTCAGACCACTTTGTGAGCCAAACATGTTCAAATGTATACAAAATTGGTATCGGCATTCTTATCACATAAAAATGGCACATTTGGTTTTTTAGAAATAGATGAGGTCATTAATTGCTCTTTTTCAAGAAATCTACTCAATATGGGTCAAATTGCTTAAATGATGAATGATAGAGGGAGTTATATACACCTTTTTTTTTAATAAGGGTGTTTCATGCACATTTGGTATATACCAAGGAGTTTTTTTTGCACTTAACCCTAAATAAAATTACAAAACAACTAAGGGCGGAATTACTAAAGGGTTAACCTATGCCATACCCAAGGTTAAAAAAAAAAAAAAAAAAAAAAAAAAAAAAAAAAATAGTATCCATGTACATTAGTTCACAGCCAGATTCATATGTAATATTACTTTTCCCGTTAATCTGGTCTATATGCACAATATTACTACTTTTCTTAACCCAATCCAGTTTACAATCCAGTCCATAACTATAACAACCCTTTCATGTTGCAAAAATATAGTATTGAATGTATGTTAGAAAGGGAACCTAAAAATAATAGTATCTGCAAAATTAAGGTTTCGTATTTTAATTTTTTGCGTCAGCAATGATACATGCATCATACTCGTTAGGGTATAACAGTAAAAAAACCCATTTTCTGTTAAAGACAAAATAAGTATTTAACTCTGACAGGATTGTCACAATAATTTGAATTTGTAAATAATAAAAGAAAATCTGAGGATGTGAGCATTCACCTAGAATATAACATTGAATGATTTATTAAACAATTACTTCTGATTTTTCAGAACCATTGTTTCAGGCTTGTATGGTTGAATAGAATATCTCAACTTACTTTATTTTAATAGTTCAATGAAACAAAATACGGAGTAGTAGTATTGATGAGTGTCAGAGTCGCATTCATTTGGTGGAATCGTTGTAACAAAAAATAACAATACACGCGTAGCGTAGCAAGCGGATAAGGTCTCGCGCGCACACACCACCATGTGCACGTTAGAGAAACGCGGCAACATCTTCATCCTAACCCTAACCGGCGACGCCGACGAGCACCGGCTAAATCCGACCCTCATCGCCTCTCTCCGGTCTGCTCTAGCCCAAGCCGAGTCTCAGTCGACTCGCGGCTCCGTCTTAATCACCACAGCCCAAGGCAAGTTCTTCTCCAACGGCTTCGATCTCAAGTGGGCCCAAGCCGAAGCCGTCGACGGATCGCCCTCGGGCTTCAACGAGAGACTCCACCACATGGTCGAGCTCTTCAGGCCCTTCGTCGCCGATCTGCTGTCGCTCCCGATGCCGACGATCGCCGCCGTGACCGGCCACGCCGCGGCGGCTGGGTTTCTGCTGGCGATGAGCCACGATTACTTCCTGATGAGGAGCGATAGAGGCGTGCTGTACATGAGCGAGCTCGACCTAGGGATGACTTTCCCGGACTACTTCATGGCGATGATGAGGTCGAAGGTGGTTTCCGCGGCGGCGAGGCGGGACGTGCTGTTGAGAGCCTCCAAGGTGAAGGCGGAGGCGGCTGTGGCGATGGGGATTGTGGACTCGGCGCACGATAGCGGGGAGAGGGTGGTGGAGGCTGCGGTGCGCCTGGGGGGTGAGTTGTCCAAGAGGAAGTGGAATGGTCAGGTGTATTCGGAGATACGGAAGGCGTCTTATCCGGAGATATGTGGCGTGCTGGGATTGGCCAGCAAGCCTGTAGTATTATCTCGGCTTTGAGATATGTATGGGATGATGTGTCATATATGGCGATTGGTCGGAACATCAAATCATGTAATAATTTCTGAATATGTAAAAAAATGTTTTGCTATGTTTGTGGCAAAAAAACAAAAAAACAAAAAAATTCACCTATGTACAAGTTTGTGTGTTTAATATGAAATGAAATAATTTCACGTTCTTTGGTTGAAAAATAATTTGAGTGGAAATGTATTTCTTACCAAGAAATGAATCAAGGGTGTTATAGGAAACAAGTAATAATACTTCTCTAATTCTTTCAAAACAAATCTTTAATAATTTTTGAACAATAATATCATAGTATATTATTAAGAAATTTTCAAAACTTATTTAAAAGATAAGTATTAAGATATATATTATAATTTATTTAAAGAGTTAAAATTATAACCCCAAGTCCTCAACTATCAAAACTAAGCATAAAACCTTTGAGTACCTCCAATGTTCTCTATATTATTTATTTTGGGAAAGTTCTCCAATGCCAATTTTATATCAAAAGGTAATAAGGTCAATTCATTATCTTCAGGGTTTTTTTGTTTAGTTTTTAAACTTGAAGGGGGTGTCATTGTTCAAAAATAGACGAACTTTCCTCCGCATAACCTTTTCTCAAACTTCAAGGAGTGTCTCTGTAATTTACCCTTATTTTTTTATAAATATGATTTCATAGCAGATTTACACATAAATTTTGGATTAATTATTTTAGTTTCAGCCGTTATTTTATATATTTTGTGTAAAAATATATATGTCACCAGTCAGGTGTCATGTCCAAGATCTTACATAACTTTTACAACCAGCCATTGATTCATTAATAGAATGATGATGAAGATGATGTAGTTGTGTAAAAAAATTTATACAAAATGCACAATGATTTTACATATTGGTGAGGTGACAATGTAGCTGTGTAAAAAAATTATGCAAAATACATAATAATTTTACATATTAGTGAGGTGACAATATATCTTAATATACTGCTAGAGATAATTTTTCTTTTTTTACACATTATGTATATTTTACACAAAAAGATTTTTAACACACGGGTAGAGATGCTCCTAGAATTAAAAAGAAAATTTGAGTTAAAAAAGAAGTTATCAACATACTCTCATATTTATAACCACATGTTGATTAGGTTATGAAATGGCAAAATTAATCTTATAATATAATATTAAATAAAAAACTGAATAATTATGTTAAAATTAAATAAATATTCCTTAGTGAATCTTCTTCCTCTTCACCTTCTTTCTAAAACTCTCACATTTCTCTCTCTTGAATCAGCGGTGAGCCTCAATTTCTTTTGGCTTAGAGTAAATAAAAAAACCTCTTGCTTTTTTTTTTTTTCAAAAGAAATTTATTATTATTATTCTAAGTTAGGAAGAAACTATCCAGTGGAGACTCTGGAGTTTATAGAAGTTGTGAAGTATTTTGATACTATCACTTCCGGTGACTAAAATTGAAGATATTCAACGGGACATTGTGACTTGTGAGTCAAATGTGTAGCAATTTGCAATGGCAGATTTGGCTTTTTCGCTTATTTATGTATTAATATTTTTTTATTTTATTTTTATTAAAAATAAGTAGGGTAATATATGCTCATTGAAATTTGAACATTTAACCTTTCCTTTAGGAAGGGATGTGCACCGCTAGGTTGGGCACTGACCTATTAATTTTTTATGTATTGATTATTTTGTAACTAATATGCCTTTTTTTTTTCCTTCTTTTTGGTTAATCAAAATATTTCCCGACAAAAAATATAAGAATGAGATGCATTTTATGACATTCGAATAGGTGAAATAGTTATAATTTATTTTACAAAATTAATAAGGTTATTTATGTTATTTGACTTTATATGGATTGAAACACACATTTTAAAAAAGGAGGGATTATGTGCACAAAACCTATATTATTATAAAGGATTTGCAGCACTTAACCCTATAATATAATTTTAAACTTTGGATTTACCTCTTTGATTGACTTGATTTGTGTAATTTTGTAAAATCTCACAAATTTTTATCAAGGGCACAATTTTAATAAACATCAAAAAGGCTAAAGTTGTCAACGCCTTAAAATTAAAATTTTAAAAAGAATAAATTTATTTCAATTTTAATTTCACATAATTTATTAGGTGCTCCAAGTCCTAAACTCTAATTTTTCTTAATTTTAATGTGTTTTACTAATCATATTACTGTTATAAAAAGATATTAAAAAATTAAAATTAAAAATCAAAGTAAGTGAATCCCAAGTGATTGGCCTGGTTAGAAAATGTATAAAGTATTAATTTTCAACCAATTTATATTAGGTGTAAATGTATAAAGTATCAAGTTCAACCAATTTATATTAGGTGTAAACAATCCCTTATAGAGTCACGCCTGTGAATGTAATTCAATATTTACTTAATTCGTGTGGGGGCACTTTGCACCGTTGTGTAGGGGCGCTTTGCAGCGCAGGCCTTAAACACCCTGATAAATAATATATATATATAATATAATAATAATAATAAATTTTAAAAAATTAATGATGAAAGTAAAGTATTGCGCGTCAAATGCTGATTCGGTCTCACACCATGCCAAATAATTTCTCAAGTGTGAGGTTTGTACTTTTCCTATTTCCTTCCAAAAACATAACGGAGTGAAAAGAAAATTACAGGAAAGTAAAGGGGCACTATTGTAAATAAAACAATAAGTTGGTCAATCTCCCCCGCTATATGCAAGTGAAAACCTATTTCGCGATCATCGTTATAGCTGTCTTCAGTTTTGTTCTGCCGAAACCGTAATTAGGGTTAGAAACATTATCAGAAGTATCCTTAGAAACATTATCAGAAGTATCCTTATCCTCTTCGCTGGATCAGCGATACCTTGATCGAATCGATTAAGTTTTGTAGAGATCTTCGTGACTATGATCGATTTTGAGGCCTCCTTACGTAGTTGAGGCCTCTTTATTGTTGTAAATATATATATATATATATATATATATATGACCATAACCAAGAGTCAATCCAGATATCTTTAATCTGTTAATATATTTTTTGGTTTACCAAGATTCCAGATTTTTCTTTATGTAACCAAGATTCGAGATTTTTCTTTATGAAATGGGAGAGTGAAGATGCAAGAAACTCCTTCTATTCTTTCTCTCTCTAGAATTCTTACACCTCAACCCGGAAAAGATCCCTCTCCTCTTCATTCCAACTCCTATGTATAGACACTTACAAGATATTTACAAGATATTTACAAGATATTTACTAATTGCTGGACCTGGGCCTATTCCTCTGTAAGCCCTGGTCACCCTTGATGGGCTTACTCCCGCTCGGCCCATATGGCAGTGTCTTTCTATGGGCTGACCCAGCTGTTCGGACTGAAGGTTGTGTTTTGCGAGTCGGACCTGGCCCATGTCATCCGGGGCCTCCTCAACTGCCCCCATAATTGCCCCTTATTTAATAAGGGGTAATTATTGATGGCGTCTCATCATGACGCTGACGGCTCGAGATAACCACGTGGGGAGCGAACGGTCAGATCCAGAATCAATGTTCCGGGGCTCGAGGGATTTCTTGCCTTCCCGACGCTTCGGCCCTCGGGCCCCCTTGCCTTTATAATGCTCTAGAATTCCACTTCACTTCCCTTTACCGTCTCCATCATCAGTCAAATCTCCCTCTTTCTAGAACTGTGCTAAGCCTTTTCCGGTGAAATCCTTCGAGAGTCATTCTCCCAGCGATCTTGCAGTCCTCCGAGGTTAGTTTCGTTCTTTTTACTTTCGGCAGGCTTCCATTTTCCCTCTTTTAGATTCTTCTAGCACTTCCACCATGGTTGTAGATCTGGGTGTTCTTCGTATGAGACTTAGACTTCCTGACAACATCGAAGTTAGGGTTTGCCCCCAAGACGTTAATATTACGACCGGCGCCGGCCTCCTGCCCGGCGAAGTCTTATTCACGAACCTTCAACTGAATGTTGTTAGGTTCCCTCTGCACCCTTTCTTTAGTTATGTCTTCAATAGATTGGGGATATCCCCTCTGCAGGTCAACCCCAACTTCTTTAGGATCATATCTGTTATGCTCTTATTGATGCGTGACAGAAATCTGGACCTTGACCTCATAGACCTCCTTCTGTGCTATAAGGTCAGTAAGATCCGTACTAACGAGCCCTTCTACCACCTCTACCCGTTCGAGAAGATGTCCATATGCACTGACACAATAAAATCTGAAAAGGGTTGGAGGGATAGCATAGTGGGCATTAGTGGGGCTTGGTCTTCGCCGGCTGCAGAGGATTACCCAATCCCGAGCGCCTTTGGTGTCTGCTCTGTCTCCTCCTATAAAAAATTCAAATCCCATAAACATGACTGCCCCTGTGAAACATGCGTTCCTCGTTTTTGCACTTACTTATGCCGCTCCTTGGGAATACCTTGTGATGATTTGAGCTATAGTGTTTGCAGGGATAGGAGTAACTACTTGAAGAGATACGTTCTGAACGATATTCCTTCCTGCTCAGATCTCCTCACTTCAGACAACCTCTTTGCGCTCTCATCACTCGGCTACAATATGAGCAGACTGCAGATTCCCTCTTTTGGCAGGAGGAAAAATACTCCCCCAGCCACTCCTGCTGCTGGGGCTACCTCCTCTCCAGCGTCGGCTTCTTCTTCAGCCACCATATCTGACACTGTCCCGAGCGCAGTGGCCACTAACCCTGTTGCCAGCGCCCCTGCTGCCAACCAGAACGCGCCCTCCCCAGCTACCATAGCTCCTGCTGCTGCGGGGGGCGGTCGGGACAAAGAGCGAGGCAAAAGGCCTCATCCTGACAGTGAAATCGATCCTGAGGAGGAGCCTCTTATTAGAAGGACCCGAGTCTCTGGGCCGGGTACTCTCTTGCACCGAGCGATCAGAGCTCCTTCTCCCTCTGGGCCTCCTGCAGCTGGTGGCTCTGCCTCTGCTTCAGGCCCCCCTTCTATCCCCAGCTTACCGCCATGGGCCCCTCGGTACACCCGAACGGATGGGACGTTCGTGAAACCGAACGAGACCATGCTGAAGGATGGCCAGACCGCTATGGCCTACTACAGGAGCATGTGGACTCCGAAGGACATTGAGGCGGCAAAGGGCCTTTCCCAGAAGGACGTGTTCAGTCGCTTCCCCCAATCTGCTATGGAGGTGACTTTTATTTTCTAACTCGTGAATTCTCTTATATTACTTGGTCTTGCCTTCGCC